TGTTCCACTCTCAGTACTGTTTTCAACCACTTTTTTCTAAATGCTATTGCATGAATATAGCCTCCCTCTTTGTCAGTTCCATTACGAGGCACTTTTTCTTAAATATATAGTCTTTTGGGAAAACAAATGACAAGTTTTAGCAGTTTGATCTTTCTTATCTGATTTATAGTCTCATTCTTGATTCTTAAAGTTTCTAATCCTTTTGACCACTTTTGCCTTATTCCTTTGAAATTTGCTACACAATCATTTTTTAAAACAAGTGATAAGTCAAGGATAAATATTCAGGATGGTATTTTAATTGGAAGATCCCCTGCCTTTTGGCCATTTCACAATGAATAACATCATTGACAAATGGCATTTGTGGAAGAAACATATGAAAAATGAAAAATAGGTATTTTCTACTCTGTACAGGATAAAAGAGATAGCTAGAGTAGGGTTCAGATTATTGGAAGAATTAATCTCTAATATAGTAAGAAAGAATTAAACATTCATTTTTATTTAAGCTGGCATTTGATTACCTCCTACTATAACAAATATTATGCAGTGCTTTTACTATCCTGAAATAAATTCTACAGGTAACATAATCTAACCTGCTTATGAAACTGTTAAATCTTTGTAATGGTCTAGTTAACATGTAGAAGGAATAAAAGTAATTCATAATAAAAAATAATATGTATTTCAATATTTAAAGTGCTCAGGTAAATCTACATGAAAAGATACAATGAAGTAGTCAGATACTTGGTCCTATACATGGAATCATCATGAATTGGACAGCTACAAATGTGGGCTGATACAGGTATGCTTATTGGCAACTCAAGTACCATGGGCATGGTGCCATCAGTTACGAGATTTTTTTTCATAGGGTAAACCACTCTTGGTAAGATTCTGAAAAACATAAAATGCACAACTCTTTCAACTTATGTGGTAGTTGTATTCCCGGAAAAGTCAGTGTATATTAAAATCATGCAAAAAGTATTTTAAGATTATCTGTAAAACATTTCAATTCTAATCCATATAATTATAAACAGGTTTTCAACTACATGAATAGCTGCTGAACATTTGAAAATCATGTGGGATGCAGAACAATTCTGTACTACCTTGCAAATTACAGGATACCCACTATCCTTGACCTTCTCCCAATAAATGCCAAAAACACCTTCCAGTCATCTTGACCACCAAAAATATCCCTACAAATTTCCAAAATGCTTCCAGAGGCCATTATCATCTCCATTAAGAACCACTGATTGAGCAAAGGTATTTTTTTTATAATGAAGCACTACGATCTTTTACATTTTACTTTTTTTTTTTTTTTTTTTTGAGATGGAGTCTCACTCTGTTCCCCATGCTGGAGTGCAGTGGCACAATCCTGGCTCATGGCAACCTCCACCTCCTGAGTTCAAGCGACTCCCCTGCCTCAGCCTCCTGAGTAGCTGAGATTACAGGCATGTGCCACCATACCAGACTAATTTTTGTATTTTTAGTAGAGACAAGATTTCACCATGTTGGTCAGGATAGTCTCAAACTCCTTACCATGTGATCTGCCCACCTTGGCCTCCCAAAGTGCTAGGATTACAGGCATGGGCCACTGTGCCTGGCTACATTTTACTTTTATAGTGAATTGATTTCATAGACTAGGAAACTGAATTCACGCCAAAGGTGAATTATCTAATTAGACCAAGCCTGCCATTCAAAAATGATACCAAAATCATTCCTCGAGAACTTGACAGATATTTAATGTGGAAAAACCTTTTACTCCCTATATTTTGTGAGCCTCTCTAAATTAGGAAAAGTTTGGGTTTGAAAAGTGGAGACTTTTGATAAGGGTAAAGTGGTGGTAGTGAAAAGACTAGGCCCTGACTATAAAACCATGTTTATCTCCTTCAAATAACAAAGATAGTCCCAAATAAACTAGTTTCCCTGTGACTTCTACATCATTGTATTTTATTAATAAATGGCTGCTTTTTGACTAAACTTCCACCTTTTATATGCTTTTGTGAACAGATAATGTAGTGGTCTAGAGTTTCTGTACTGATGGAATAAAAAGCACCCCACTTAATGTCCCCTGAAGTGATGCATTTTTTAAGTAGTAGCTCTCAAAAGTTTCCATTTACTGAGCATTGTTGTGGATAGTTTCATACTGATTTGTAAATATTTTCATTCAACTTTGGCCCTAAATTTTTGAAAATGATGTCTAAACATATTCTTGAAATGTATATCTGCAGTCCCAGATAGATGTGCAGTTATTCAACCTCCAAATTATATTTTTAAAATTATTCCAAATCTACTTCCAAAAATTTAGAAAAGATATTTTTGTATTACATATTCATGTTGTCATTCCTTAGTTTAGGGAGAATTCTCTCCCCTCCACCCCATTCTCTGTGATTCAGTTGCTAACCTACCTTATTACCTTTACTCCTAGCAATTTCCCTTCCTCTGACAGAAGCACACACTCTCATTATTTATATTCTTAAATTATAAGAATAAATGTTGAGAGCCAATGCAAGTATTCCGTTATCTCAGAGACTCTGGTCTTTTCAGTCCAGGACTAATCAAGCAGAGAGTCATCAAAAGCTAAAACTAAAAAAAGCTTTTGTAGTGATTTTATCACCAGGGAAATCTGTTCATCCTTCAGAAGGATTGTCACCAGTAAAGAAGAAATAAAGGAGTTAAAATTGCTTCAGACCATTGACTCCGTAGGTCCCTCTAGATTCATAGATTGAATTGGTTTTCAAGGGATGGGAGGAATTATGAGGGGAATTCCCTGAGAAAGCTTACAAATTGATCATAGCCTTGGTAACACTAGTAGGTGTAAGTGTGATCACTATGGGGGAAATGCCAAATGTGGCTGGAAGCTTGGGAAATGGGAAGGAAAGGAGACAATTAACACCTTTTTTTTTTTTTTTTGGCTTATTGTATTTGGAGGTGGGTGTTGTCATATAGTATGCATCTGAGAATGGTCTTTCAAAAGGAATTAGAATTGATTTTAAAATATCTTACCATTATAAGTGCAACTGAGTAGTTACTACTGAAGTGAAACTAGGGTTGCAAACACTGTAGAATAGACACACACATTCGATAAACCTATCCAGAAACTTCTCCTCCTGGATATACCCACAAATATCATTTAAAGTAGGCATGTCTGAGCATATGTAGAATTGCTCACTTAGGTTTGGAAAATATAAATACTTCCAAATTCAAAAGAATCCTTTAAGATTGTCATTTGAATAAATGATTAAAAATGTAATAATATCTAGATTTTATGTCTTATACACCTATTGATGCAGGCAGATGTATATATATAATTTTTCCCCAAGAATTCTATTAAGAATTGTCAAAATCCAGCCAGCACTTGAGGATTTACCAAGATAAACCTACATTCATCCCTCCTTCCTATTGAATAACAATGAATTTTGCCCAAAATGAGTAAGCAGATAAAGAAATGACCTCATTTTTGTCTGAATAAGTAGCATTGGGGGATATGACTTTAATACTGGGTCTTAGTTTCAAATTCAGGTTCATGAAGCCAATCTGCAGAGGAAAGGAGGACACAGAGAATCCTCTGGAGAGCACCGATAAAGAGAGGGGTTCTCTAGTAGGGCCAGCTCCCACAGCTAAGTCACAGGCACAGACTGTAGCTTTCTGCTCTCTGGCCACCGCAGCCTTAGCATCCTTATTGTTGTAACTCCTAGATTGTGATACTGTCACAAAACTGTTGCTAGGCAACAAATGTGGTTACCAGGTCTCAGCGAATAGCTGAAGGGGAAAGCAAAGTGTTGCACCATTGTAGAGTAACCATAGCAATGACCTACTATTACAGACTAAAGAATTATCATTAACAATGTTAAAGTATCAGACAGAGGCCCTGAATCCGGCGACTTCCAAGCGGTATCTCTCTGCATAATTGAGTGATCTAGGAAGAGATTTCAACTGTTTAAAAGCTAGTCACTCATTATTTCATGGAAGTCTAATTATTTTAATTTTTAATTTTAAAAAGTGCTCAGGTACGAAGCCACTTGTAAAATGCTACATAAGCCATCACAGGGAGTCAAAAATAGATAAATGTATTTCCTCATCTGTTGTTATGCCTGCATCCGTGTTATCTGCTGCCTGTATTAAACTGAAGGTCGATTTGATTTGAAAAATGCTGTACATTAGTAGTACATCGAAACCACAGAGAGAAGCTGTAGTAAAATAAAATAACCCCATAAATTGGCAACTAACCTGCATTTTCTAAGTTGAATTCCTCCTGACAAAATGGGAGGCCTAGATGCTCTTTTAGTAGTCACTGCTTTGAAACCTTTTTTTTTTTTTTAAAGCTGTTCTAAATTTACCCCTTAAAATCTGTAAAAATGTCGCCTGCTAGGACACTTCAAGGCATCATTCTTTTTGAATGTGGTCCTTCGTTAAGCGTCCCGTATGATTTGGTCCTAGTGACCTAGCTGAGGTAATCGTGTCTAACAGCATAGCTTCCGGGAGCGGCGAGAAAAATCCTCCCTCCCACCCTTGGGAAGCAAGGAAACGGGCGCTGTGGGGTGGGTGGGAGCCGATCCCGCGCGCAGGGGAGACCAATCTCCGCGCGCGCCGAGTCTCGGGAGGTGGGTGGTTTCCCGGCGGGAGAGGGAGTGGCCCTTCCCGCCCAGCGCCTCCATTGGCCCAGAGGGGCGGAGGCCCCGGTGTGCCCGACCGCGCCTCGGGCTACCCCGGGACAGCTCCGAGCCGCGTCCCCGCGTCGGGAGAGGGCTGGGTACTCAGGCCGGAGACGCCCGGAAGCCGCGGATAGCGAAGTCTGCGTTCCTCTGAGCCCCCGCAGCCTTAGGTGTGCCCTGAGAGGTGGCGGCGCGCGCCCGCGAGGGGGCGGGAGCCCTGGCTGAGGGGCGGGACGCGGGTGGCCGGGGCGGGGCAGGGGAGGCTGGGAGCCGGGGCTCGGCCTGGCCCTCGCAGCCCTCACCGCGTCCGGCGGCGCTTGGCCACCTGGTAACCGAATGTGTGGTTCTTTGCAGGCACCGACCGTCATGAGCTAACTTCCTGGAAAAGCTTCCCATCTATTTTCAAATTCTTTACCGAAGCCTCAGAGGCCAAGACCAGCTCCCTGAAGCCAGCTGTGACGCGCCGCTCGCACCGCCTCAAGCACGAAGAGCTGTAAGAGGAGCTAGCGCGACGGGGGAGGCCGCCGGGAGCCGCCCCGACGCACGCACCCGCACGCCTCCTCACTGCTTTTGTCGTCGAGCGGACTCCCAGCCCCTCATTAGATTGTTTTCTTCCCAGAGCACAGGGTCGTGATATATACATCTAAATAGCGTTTTGCATTATTTCTAGATGAGTGCAACTGTCAAAGCAATATGGGTTCACTGGTTGTGCTTCCTGCGGGCTGAGCGCGGGCTGAGCGCTGCCCGAGCGCTGCCCGTCAGCGCTCAGATTAAGGCTGACAGCGCCCTGCCTGGCGCGGCCGGCGCGGCTCTAATTGCCCTGACGGAGTCCGTGCGGGCGCTGCGGGGCGAGCGGCGTCGGCGCGGTCCTAGCGCCCGCCGCAGCGCAGCCGCTGCTGCTTCCCCCTCTTTAATCATGTCCATCTTTCCCCGCTCTCAACCAGAGCAAACTTTTATTCCAGACTTCAGATTTCCATTTTAAATAGGTTTTTCCCTGAGGACATCTTATTACCCCTCGCTTTTTTTTTTTTTTTTAGGAAGTTCTGCACACACACCCCAAGCCAATTTCAAATTCAGAACATGAATGCAATGATGTAGCAGGTAATTTGGGGAGAGTAAATTGTTCTCTCCCTGTTTTCCTTTAGGGACCAGAAAAAAAAAGAAAAAACTTTGCATAAAAATCTATAAAGTACTGAATCCGCATTACTGCTGAAAATCCTTTTGCCAGCTGATTGTGAGAGTTTACACAAGTTTCTGATTTCAGAAAAGACTTAAAACCAAAACAATGATGGGCAGATCTTTTAATTGTAGGTGTGTAAAGTCCCATTTTCAGTGGAATTTCCAACTGTTGTCGCTGGAATTGACTTTACTTTTTAAATACATAATGTGTACTGAGTGGTACTGTAATTTAGATGTAACACACTTAAGTTTTGCTTTTCAAATCTCTCTGTGGAGAAAGATTGTTGTTAATCCTTTCCAGAATGATCTATTCTGAGCTTTCCTGGAGTTAGGCTCTTCTAGGGATAGAATTTTTTTATTGTCATCAAGAAACTAAACCTGTGTGCTCTGCAGCCTTTTTCTTCTGAAAGGCTAAGTGGGACTAAAATGATCCTTTTAGTTTCCTGCTTTAACAAGAAGAGAAAGACTTGGTGTGAAATAATTTCTTCTCTCAGTCCAATGGTATAATTTTTAGCACTCCACTTCCTCTGTAGGGTTTAGCCCTACAATTTTAACAATTAAGTATTTTATTCCAGCGAAGATGTGGCCAACACTGTGAAATACAAGAGATGTTAAGGTTTTGCTGACTTTTGATTAAGATATTAAATTTTCACATTATTTTTTAATTATTTAACAAATTTAATTATCTAGTAAAGATTGTTTCTAATACACGAGAACCTGAATTTAATATTTTCATCCTTTTTTAAAGTGTATGCAACAACTAATATGCCTGCCTTATGTACCCAAAATGACTTAGAACTGTCTAATGCCTCAGAAAAGTAACTTAAAATCAGCCACCTCGTGCATAAATGTTTTTATATTGTGAACCAATTTCAACAAGTTTAAAAACTGTTAATATCTCATTGCTGTGTTTGACATACAAGTACATTCATTAGTTCTATAGTTTTAATGATGACAAAGTGATCTGTTTTCAGTAGTCATGTCTGCATATCTTTTGGTGTTATTTAAGCAGAATCAACTATAGGAGGAAAAATCATTTTATTCAGCTAGTGGATGACTTAAAATGAGTAAGCCTCAACAACGTGAAGCACATTTGTCTATGATATTGACCCTTTTTATCTGATCTTTACTATTTTAGAAGTAGTGGTGAACTGTGTAAAATAATGTCATCTTCCAGTGAGAAATTCAAGAATTGATGTGGATTGAATATATTTTTCAAGGTGTTATATTGTGTCGTGTTATCAGTATATGAAAATGTTCACAGGAAACCATTTTATAACATTAAAAAAAACACTTGTGCAAGGCTAAATTTGTGAAGCTTCTTCACCTGAATCAGAGCAAAATAAATATACTCAGTTATAAACCAAATCACTCCTATTCCTTCTCTCAAATCATCTCTCCTCTTTTTAAACCTTTAGCTAGAATAAATCACTATTTAATTGCCTCTAATACTTTAAAACTACTGGATGGTTAGGCCTTGTTTAACTATCTATAGAGAGCTATTTGCAAACTTAAGTTGTGTAAATGTAATTTCTACTTGTGAATCTGAGCTGTAGCAGCCCAGAGGGAGCTGGGCAAACCATTTTAGACCACCAACTGGTAAGTGATCCGATTCTTTGTAATGTAGGATTTTTTTAACCTGTTGATTATGGGTTTGTTGATATAAATGTAATAATACTGTTCACCTCTATTTTCGTGGAGTAACAACCAGCAGTTGGTAGTAGCCCACCTGCCTGAGGGTGGCCAGTGTTAACAATATTTTTGCTCTGATCTTCCCCATTTTTGTTTTCTCAAACAGGTTTTTAGGAGAGTGGAGATTTAAAGTCAGGATGTGGGCTTTTTATTTAATTATATACTTAATTCTTAGAACAAGTAGAATAGGAAAGGAATGACTGATAAGTCTAAGATTCAAAATAGTCCTGTCGAAACTTAAAGGCCAGATTATTGCTTTGGAGCTTTCTGAGGTACCTAGCCATCCAGTTGTTAAACGTTTTCATGGATATTTGAAAAGAAGACCATGTACTTGTAATAACTGTTCTTTTCTCCAGTTTCTGCCTTGTGCTTTGACCTGGATTGCATTATTATTGTTTATGTGAAAACAGAAAAAAAGGAAAGCACAAGCTTTTCCTATATATTTCCATTTTAAAATAAAAACAATTTTTTACCAACAACAGCGGTGTATTATTCTTTCTCAGAAGTTCCCTTATTCACCAACTGTATAGAGATTTTTTTTAAAGCAAAAACATAAAAGGAAGGATGAGACAGCATCCATCAATATTTTAAACCTTATGGCTACTTTTTATTTCTGTTCTTATTGCTGTAAGGTAATATCCTAACTTCAGTTGAGTTATTATTTGGCTTGCACCTTTTACAAAGCTAACATTTATAAGACAGTTGTTTTTAATATCTAAAATATCTCCTTAGCAAGGAAACCTGAGCAATCTGTCATTAAACTATTGTTTTATGAAATAAACTTGAATATGCCATAAATAAATGTGTTTTCCAAGAGGAGTCTGGTGAGATTAAGTTGCCCCCAAGTTCGTGTATGTAGGTTCTTGATGTACTGTGTTCAGTATGAAAATAACATTTCTTTTACAGCTATTCCTTTCTTAAAACCTTTTAGCTCCTTTTAGAGATATGTTAAATAATTATCCAAGCTAATAAGTTAGATTTTGTTTGCTCCCCTGGGTTTTTTGCAGTTCCAATATAAAAACACGTTGTGTCTCTTGTTACAGTCATATTTTTTACTGTAAACTGACAGGATCCTGTTGGTGTCTGTAATCCTAATTCATTTAAGAAAGACTACTACTACAGAAAGTGTAAAAATTTCTCAAAAACTTTCCACATGCCTCTGTGGAGAAAAATAAATGTCTTTAAATAAATGAGACATTCTCATCATTGAAATATGGGTGGCAAAAAGGGGGATGATGGTGGTGGTTATTTTATGATTACTTATTAGTGGCTGTAATAATATAAAATAAAAGACTCCAGGAGGTACTCCCTTTCAAAAATTGAATACTTTCCTTCCTTCCTTGTATAGAATGACTGAGTGGGAGTCTCTTGAATTGTTCGTCTTCCTTTTATCTAATATTCTATTAATCTCCAAAAAGATCAGTTTGAGTCTGGGAAAGGGTTTTTAATCAACACTTCACAGAGCTTAAAGCTACCCTACCTAAAGCATCAGCTTTGTTAGGCGGTTTTAGATTTAAAGCATTGCAACTGTCATGCACTGTACTAAAAGTAAAGAATGTACACCAAGTGGAAGATGTTGAAAAGAGGGAAATAGCACAAAGTCGATTAACGGAGATTCGAGAATAGAAGTAGCCATCAAAGCATTCCAGCATTTATCTCAAAATCTATGTAAGGTTTTTTTTTTTTAAAAAAAGCAACAATGATAGTTTTAAACCACACACTTAGGAGGGATGAATGTTGATTTAATTGATTCATTTGGATCGATGTTTTTAAAGTTTCACACCACTGATCTTTCATGTAGTGATGTCTTTAGCAGTCAGTGGTCTGACATGAGCCTTCTCAGATTTCATCAGTGGGACTCTCCATGACATCTAAAATTATGCAACAGCCTGTGCAATGGTAACTTTAGAATTGGGAGACCTTGATGCCAAAGAGCATGATTAGATTGAAGAACTCTTGTTAATTCCCAGCACAAAGGTTTTAGAGAAGTAATAACTATAAAAAGAACCTCAAAAGTTAAAGTTACCAAATAATACATAGTTGGCTTTAATTGCTAGATAGGAGAAAGTCATCCTGAAAGTTTGACCATTAAGTGGATATCACACAGTGACCAGTATTTTCCCCCTTGAATGTAAAAACCTTAAAAGTGGAAATTTGACTTAGTCCATGAGGCCTTCTAAGCAACTTTTCCCAGACCTTCGCCTTGAGATTTGTGAAAAATCTTTCACTATATTCTTTATATTGTTAGAGTTGAGTTCTGTTTGAAACAGACATGACACATATTTCTAAAAAGAAATCTAAAGAAGTCCTACATCTTTCTTTTTAGATCATTCATCTTTTTCTTCCTTGACTATTACCTCGGGTAATATGGGGAACTGTCATAGGTAAAATAATGTTGAACTGTACTTTGTGGCTAGCCTGTAACACCAATACAAAGAATCTGAAATGAAAAGACAACCAACACCCCAAGAATGATATGTCTCTTTTTAAAGTTTACTACTTGAATAATGAATTTAGATAGAAACTTGGCAGGAAAACAAACCATGGCACCATCACATCACCAACCATTTTCACTTTTCTGTCCAATTTCAGAGTGCATGTGTTTGTGAGTATTTCACTAGATCAGTGACAGCTCTTTATTTGCATAATTATATGCTCTGGTCTGAAGAGAAAACTAACCCCCAAATTTCATGGGTCACCAAACTGCAACAATCAATGTTTTATCACGTATGCTAAGCAAAATCTAAGAAGCTATATGAAGTTTCTTGGGGAGTTTTTACTCCTCAGAAAATTAAAGAGTTTTTCTCTCCTGAATAGATTCAAAATCTTTCCAAGTTCTTTGTAACTGAATTCTGTTTGAAGGCAAAACTAAAGATTAACATGTAGATCTGGATCGTAGACTCACTAGCATTACTTCAAAGTGGCTTAAGAAGAGCAGCATTTTGGGTGCACTAAACTTATAAATTAAGCACTGTGCTTCATGCTCTGAGGAGAAAAATCAGTGGTCAAATTATGATTAGCCAAAATGAAGTTCTATTAACTATAATTGAGTATAAAGTTTATTTCCTTCTTTAGAGTTACTCAGGGTTTAAAAAAAGAAAAACTCACCTAATTCAAAAATATGTATATGTTTCATACACACATACATATTCATTCTGAGGTGCATATGCCCATTCCTGTCCATTTCACCTGAAATAGACAACATATATAATATGTCTATGTCTTTTCAATGCGTGTAATATAGTAGGCGTTCTGTATATGTTGGTTACCATGAATGTTTGGAAACTTCTGTTAAATAATTTTTTCATCTTCAAATCTGCAAGGCATTATAATAAATATTTTTAATGCTTGAAGTTCATCAAACCCGTAAATTATCTGTATGTAATGTGCATTTGTGTGTAAGGTTGGCTTTATTTCATTAAATAAAAAATTATTTAAACTGTTGGTATCTTTAGTTTGTAGGCAGTCTGCCAAATTTGAAACACTATAAGGCAAAAAGACACATGCAGAGAGAGACTTTTTGTGGAGTTACTAAAATCCTGGAAAATATACCTTTACCTAGATTATTAAGGAATATACTAGGTGCATGATTTAATTCTGCAAAAGAACAGATATGAATTTCATTTAAGAGCATATAATACAGTGCCTTTTATTTGAAGTGATCTGTCAGCTTCTCAGGCAATTTACTGTCATCAACAAAAACAACAGGAAAAAATAAATCTTTAAGGGAAAATTTTTTCCAAGAATTACATAGTTTTGAAGTGTTTTATTCTCTCTCTGAAGAAGGATGAGAAGTCTTTAGGTCAGGCATCAGAAATTTCCTAAAATGTTCTTATTTCTTCAAGTGAAAAACCAGTTCCCCTAAGTTTTTAACTAAGGTTGAATCCCAAACTGAACACATTTACCTGCTCTTGTACCTAAAAGCCGTAAACCTCTGCTTGTCACAGAACACTACCCAGGACCATCACATCTCATTTTTGTGACTGTTCTTTCTGAAATGTTCAGCTAGTTGCAATCCCTCTGTCACTCCTCCCCCCATCATCTACCACCCCAGAAATTGCTGTTTGGACTGAAGATCTTGGATTCCTCTAGGTGAAAATTCCTCAAAACTGAATCTGTAAAAAAAAATAAATAAACCCAAGTTTAGCATTTCTATCAAAATAAATTTGTAAGCAAATGAGTCAAAATATAAGTATAGGGTTAGGAACTATGTGTCTCTGAGTTAGAGTAAATACATTTTATTTTTTAGGTGGTATAAACCCTTCTAAAGAAAATAATGCACAATATTTAGACCTATTTGTTTCTCTGTCTTTATTTGACCTTTGTGGGAACATTGCTTAGAGTGTCAGATAGGGCTCTCAGTTTTCCACTCTGCCAGGGATGCAGAAAAATTTGTTATTTCCCACTGAATGCCACACATGAGGGGATTGATCCTGTAGCTATTAGGCCTAGGTTTTCTCTTTTTATCATTTTCATTCATTTTTGCACACATGCCACTTAATCCCATTGTGTCTGAAAAAGGTGCCTCTGATCTAGTTCATGTACCACCAAATAATTTTTCAAAGATTTCTTTTCTTTTTTTTTTTTTTGTCACAATTAAATAAATGGCTTTTTTCCAATAAATGTTCACACCTTCTCTGGGTACTTGGATAATCAGGATTTATCAACTGAAGAAATATTGATGGTTTGTTGTGGTGGTTTTGTTGGTTCCTCCCTCCCCCCAACCCTTTTGCTTTTGCTTTGCATCAGTAAATTACTTAATATCATCCCCTGGAATAACCACCTCTAAAAATAACCCTACCACAGAGTGTCACAATTTGGCTTTCATACAGGTTTGAAAGAAAACCATTAAAATTGCATTGATCTCACAAATATTGATCTAGTGCTTGATATCAAATATCAAATGAGATGCTGTCAGTTGCTGCTGATCATTGCGTCAGCTGTTTGAACTCATGTCCCTTTCCTTCTTCATTGTCACATGGATTCCAGTTGCGGAGGCTAAGTGAGATTTTCTCAATTAAAACAAATTCAATTGCTTTCCTATTTTTCGCATTTCTGATTGAACCAAACATAGTTTAATAGTCTACCTGAAATTTTGGCACATGGTACGTGTGCACGTGTGTGATACAAGAGTGTGATTCAGTTCCTAGGTTATGTTTCTATTTAGACTAATCTTGAAATAATTTTTAACTGTATTCTACTTTCTTTCTGATCACCTGTATGTTTAAAAATAAAATTTGTTTTTTAAAAAATGCAGTTATTATGGTATCATTTTAGAAATTAAAATGAAATCGTAACCGTTTCTAATTTATACACACACAAACTACAATAGCAAATTCTTCCTTTTATTCTTGCTGACAAAAATATAACTATAGCATTTGGCAGGTATGGAGTTTTGAGAATTATTTAAGTGAAATTGAATCCATATATATTTAATACTTTCTCAGTAAACTCAGCAGGTTAAGTCATGCTATGCTTTTAGTTCCTATCAAATCTGGAAATAGCTCATTGCCCCTGGATATGTTTAGAGTTTCAAATCAAGTCTCAAATCATCCTTTTCCTTTCCTCCTTATTCTTTACTTTGTACATCAAAAATTGCTGATTACACTACTTTGAAAAACTGAGCACTTTGAAGAAGACGCTACCAGTTAACACTGCTGTCTGACTAAGCAGTAATGACTGTGAAATAAAGAATAGAACCCCCCTAAAGTACTATTTAAACTGTACAGCCACATTCGTATTTTCTACATTTGCAGGGAGAAAAAAAAAAATCTAGCCGCACCAGTTGTTGGTGTTAGCCCTTACCCTTTTGTACACTTGAGCTCGGTTTGGGGACAGCAAAGCGAAATGAAGCCGCGCTCTCCCCAGCACCATGGACAGCGCCCAGCGCGCCCCCACCCCCACTTCCCTCTCCCCTTGCTTGGCGAGAACCCCAAAGTTCTGGCCCCTGAATGATTCCTCTCTCCGACCACTCCCCCACCACAGAAAACTGGCTCCTGAAATCTTAAATCTGAACCTAAAGCGACAGTGACTTTAAAGAGTATGCAGTTTGTGGGTGGAGAGTCTTGTTTCCTCCATGCCGGTGTTAGAGCTCCGAGTTTACACATTTGCCTGCGAGTCTTCTTGAATTTGTATCTAGTCTAAGCCGAAGCCAAAGCCACTCTTGTCATTTTTGCCGCAGGGATCTTCCCTCCCCATCCCCCTTGCCCCCGACTTTTCTAAGGCCAACTTGTCACCACCACCCATAGCTGGCAGGAGCTGTACATGGCTGCACTTCAAGAGGTCTGTACTGGGAGCACGTTCCTCCCGGGCTCTGGATCTCAGTCTCGAGAGATCTGCATTCCAGAAGATCTACGTCCAGACCAAGCCGGCCCTTGGTCCCACGGCTCTGCCAGTGGCTAGAGCTGTCGGACTGGCTCGGGTGCGCCCCGGCACTGGTTAATTACCTCCCGGAGAGAGGCGGCTCCGCAGCGGGAGCCCAGCCCGCCGCGCGCTAAAGAGCCTGACGGCAACTTACTTGACAGCACCAAAAAGGGGACTCGTCTACCTCAGTACCCATCACCTCTTCTCCTATTTGCAGACCTTAAGTCCAAGCTGTGCTTTTCGGCACATCTCCCTGTTTGGATCTCTTTTTTGCTGTCGCGTCAGGCAAAGTACAATAAAGGAAGATCACTTCCGTGTGGTATCTTTTTCATTGCGTGGTCTCCCTAGCAACACTTAAGTTGCCACTCCTAAGACAAAACTAGTTTTTTAAAAAATTTCAAATTGCACCTTGCTATATCGAAACTCGCCTCACTTGTTGGGCTTTGAGTGATATCTCTTCCTTCCCACCAGGACCCCATTCTGGCCAACTACTCTTTCGATCCGATGTTGGGGACGAAAATACTAGGTCTCCAGCAGGTGAAACGGTCAAAACCAAATTTCTATTAAATAGCAATTGCACTAAAATAATTTCAAACCGACTTAATCCAAACTTTCCTAGAAAGAGTCAGGAATAAATGAAAAGGGGAAAGAACTCTAATATCTTAAGTTAACGGGTTTCTTGCCTATAGAATGCCCTTAATAAATTGATTTTAAAACTGCTTCTGTATAGTAACATGAACTACAATACATTTCAGGATAAATTACTATCTATTTGCCATAGTATTGCAAGGAAAATTTTCAGTAAGTTCCTTAATAAACTAAAGCAAAAATTAAGCTTCAAAACACTTTATTTGTATGTCCCATAAGATATACAAATATTTTATTAACTCCTTCACGGGTGAACAATTTAGTTTGTTTTCTCGGAACAGCCATCATCAACACACCGCTTTCTCATAGCACTGCTTGCACAAACTTTTTGTCTTTTCCTAGTCTGCAAAGTCACTGCTGAATTATCCCCAAGGATGAATTTTTCCCCGTAGTTTGGACATTATTTCCATCTCAAGGGTCATTTTGCCCAAATATTAAGATAAATCCATGCAACTAGAGAAACTCCGCCATGCCGAAAACTAACCTAGCAACACGACCCTCCTGCAAAAACAGGAGACAACTCACGTTAGCTAATGCAGTTTGGCATCTGAAGTGTGCAGCGTAGCAAAGACCTGTTGAATAATAGTGACTTGAAGACTTGAATATTCTAGACTAGGATCCATCTCCCACTGTCTAAACCCACAACTGAAATAGCTACGTAATATTTGCATGTCTTTGGCCAGTACATTTTTGGGAGCTTATTCCATGAGCTGAGCTTCCATCTTTGGATAAATTCGTTCTAGCCTTCCGGAGTTCAGGAGCAAGGAAAGGGAATCAGGTGCAGAGAAGGACATGAGGTTTTCCTTTGTCAGGGCTGGGGGAATTGTGGAGATTTGGGGTGGAATGGACAGCCCTTATTGAACTTCTGGGTGCCTAAGGTTTTCTCTCTCAGTCTGGGTTTTTGGGAATCGCTTTCTTTCACGAGGGATTTCCTTTATGACTTGGGGGAAAGGGGTAGTTAAGATCTGCGTTTCATTAATCAATAGTTTCTTACTTTTTTTTTTTTTAAGTGTACTCCTGATTCAGTTTTCAGAATGACTTTTCTGGATTATTCTAGGTAAGTCAGAAGCTCCCAGATCTGAGTAGAAATTTCAGTAACACTTTTGCCAGAGAAAAATGTGAAGAAAAGAAGTATGGGAAACTCGTTTTCTTTATAATAAGTCAGAACTTTGAGGATACTGATCAGGTCCCCCTGAGAGGAGCGTCTTCAGCGATGTTTGCTCGCCATCTGTATGTGTTCAGTGAAACTTTAAACCATTTTACAGTATAGATGACTATGTTTTGCTTATTATCCAAGCTTTTGTTTTAATTCCAACCCTACCATTCTATAGGATTGCTGTTGTTGTAGCCATTTTTTTCCTTTCAAAGTCTTTAAAAATAAGTTTCATTGTCTCTTACCCATTTGTCAATGTCAAATATACGTTGCCTATTTAGCTAAAGAAAAGGGTGTATTTCGTATGTTATAAGAACAGGTTTCTTTATTTGGTTTCTTGGAAATCAATAATCTCTCAAACGTTTGCAAAGACCCCTTGGGGAAGGGAGAGATGTAAACAATAACTACCAAACTTCAACATGACAATACTGGTTAAAATCTTCAGGATGATCATTGGAATGTGGAGAGGTAAAGGGGAACGACTTCAAACTCCTGAGATTACAGAGGAAGGGACCCCTGGTATCTGATGCCTGGCTCCATCCCCTGCAACTTGTAAGGGACTTACCTTGGAGAGTGGGGAGTTAATTCTAAACTTCTTTACCAGACATCTTACTAGCCAAACTGGTCTTCAAATAATTTAATTGGGAGGTGGCTGGATGACCACAGAGCGGTTGCAAAAGATAGTTACCCCCATTAAAAGAAATACCATGATTTCAGTCTTTCTTGACATAATTAAAGGCTTTGGTAACACTCCTTTATTTTGTCTCATGCTCATGAAAAAAATCACCTACTTCTCCAGCAAATGAAACTTTAAGATAAATTCTGCAGTTTAATTTCTGCTTTTAAAAGTTAGTAGGTATACGAGGAAACAGAGAATGCATTAGAGCAACTGAGTTACACTTCAGCTATTTAACAGTTTAACATTAGAGGGAAGAATACAGCCAGTTTTCA